TAATTTTTTAGGTCTTATACGGTATAAACGACGGAGACATTTTTTATCTTTTCCTGTTTTAAAATGACATTAATTCCCAATTTCTTTTTATATAAAGAGAATTCAGAATGGGCAATTAAAGAAACAAAGGAGATCATAGATTACTTTATTTAGCAGTCGGTCTTGTGCCCTCCCCTGGGACACCAAAGATAGCAATCTGTGGCAATGGTTCAGAGTCAGTTTCAATATCTCAAATATAAAATGAAAAAATAAAGCAGTTTTCCACTAAGCTTGGGTATGATGAGAATCAAGTCTGCTAGATCCTAAGAGCATCCGCCACAAATATCATTCAGCATTGGATAAATCTTCCGTAAGCTGAAATGGGTCCGATGAGGTACTTTGAACGGAATGAGGCTCACCCAATTGAAGGATCGTATACAAAACAAATCAGTAACTGAATGTAGGAGATCAATGCCTGTCATTGGCGCATCCTGCTGAAGAGCTAAGATGCTTTTGAAGTTACTAAATTGTACATTTCTGAACAGATCGAAAGTGCTGAGTGTTGGATGAGGAGCATAATTGGTCAAGTTCAGAAAACAAGCTGGAGAGGCCTCATCTGTGCCAGGAGGCTGAACGTACCTAACAGGGCCATAATGATGTAAATCTGTAAGACTTTTTCCAATGTGTGCTAGCTGGTAATGTTGAAAAGTGAGCGTTTGCTGTTTTGCAGTGTCCCATGGCTGCCCACTGCTGGTGTAAAAGCCGTCTATGACACTAAAGCCGTGGAGAAAGGTGAGCTGAGCAGTGGAGAGTTACCAACATCAGGTTTCAGGGTGCTCCTCTGTGTGTTACCAACATCAGGTTTCAGGGTGCTCCTCTGTGTGTCTGCACTGCCACTGTTGACTTCTCAGATCAATACCTTTGTGCTAAGTGTTGCATCAAATCCTGCCCTGGAGGCATGGACTTTTTTTATATATATTTCAGTGTTTGGCTCCATCTTGTGTAGGCTTGAGGTAAAAGTGTAGACTTCACTGTGGGGACTTAAGCAAAGTTTAAAAAGTAGATAGACATAAAATTACTAGGATGACGCAGTTCCATTATGGCTCCTAAAATGCAACAAGGTCCAATCTCAGAATGTTAGATCTTAGACTGATATTCATCTTGATGTGAACACTTGTATTCTTATAAATGCTCTTTATAGGATAAGATGATGTTATTTCAATGTTTTTAGTTGCTATTCAAACTTCCACAAGGGGGAGAAATTGCACCAGGAAAGTTGTCTTGGATTCTAGTTGATGTCAGTCTTTGCCAGGCCAGAAAGCTGAGTCCTGCTCTCTTATGTAACTTTACGATGCTCTGTGGGTTTGAACTGCACAGTTCATTAACACAGGAACCATATGCCAATGCCAGATTTAGCACATATCCCATTACACATTATAATATTATATGAGGAGTGTGGTGTACGCACACAAACACAGTCTCCCGCTGAGCTTTCTCACACCCTTCTGTCTCTGTCAAGGATATAGTCAAAACTCAGGCTCCTGTTCTGTTATTTTTAAAAGAAAAACACACACACACCTTTCTCCTTTCTGTCACCTTAAACACAAACATAAATGAGGTTCCCACACGCTTAACTCTTTCCTCTGTAGCAGCAGAGACCAGTTTAATCACCCTGTCACCACCACTTGCACTCTTTCTTCCTCCCTTTTCTCTCAGTACATGACTTTTATCCACAAGTCTCAATTTCACACTCCCATTTAGATAATTACATTAGAATTATGTTATGTAACATGTATTTCTTCACGTCTCTCAGAGTGTATTTATGTACTTTAAAGTTTTTGACCATAGTATCATGTAATTTGGTTCATGTGACCTTAAAAGTGGTATGGGCTGAATTACCGGCAGTCTGTTTTTATGTGAAATACCATACTGCCAGACTGCCAGAACCCCATTGGGGCAGAGCAGAGCCGGCAGCGGGGCACTTGCTCACTCCTCCCTTTGCAAAAACAAACTCCCTTACCACGAAACACCTGTCACCTCCCACCCCCCCTCTGTACACTTCTCCTCCCACCCTTCAGACTGTTTCTTTTCTCTTACTCACCTCCCGCTTACCTAATTGTATTCACTGTTCTTTCCATCTGGATGTTTCCTGTTTTCCTCCATCAGCCCCGTTCTCTTAGAGCTGTGTCTCCCTTGATGTTTCTGTGTATCGTGTTGCACACAGCATGCACCTCTCAGGTGATGGACCATGTGAGAAAAACAGCAAAAATATTGAGCCATTCCTCCTCTGACATCACTTTGACATCTAATTTCTATTAGATAACTTTCTTCACATTGCCTCGAAACCTCTTCAGGGGCGTCTGTTATTAAAGAAATTCAATTCACACTCAAAACTGTGCACCATTTATTTTTACTCAAAATGTACATTTCAGAGAGAAAGTGTGTTCTGTTATTTGTAAGGTGCATTTGTATAGGGATAGGTATACAGTATAGCAAACCAATATATAACAGCAATTGTAGCATAGCTTATCTGCAGTCCATCCGAAGAAAGTCTGTAAATAACATACAACTCAAACACACAGAGTTAACAAAACACCAACCCTACATGAGGTATGTACCAAAGACATACAAAAGTGTTTTAAAGTGGTACGTTAAAACAGCTTGACTACTTTTTCTCACTGCTGTGGTTTGTTAAAAGATTTTACAAAGAAAGAATATAATCCTCTTGTGAAATATAATGCATTATATTGGATCGCACTACCCAGGAAAGTAAAAACAACAACAACCCACCAACACAAACTTTTATTACTAGGAAAAATCGCATAATGTTGTTTCCATTATGTCCTACTTGTACTTTCAAAGCTTTTGAATGAATACAAAAAAATTAAATCAATTAAATCATACTTTGAATGTGGATCACATTTGCAGACACAGTCTCAGACTCAGAAATTAAGATCCTGAACCACAATACATCTCACAGACTAGTTCTTGAATGTTTTTCTTGCCTAAAGAAGACGGGTACTTTAGAGAAGATTAGTATTACAGCTCTGATTTACTCTTGTCTGGCATCAGAGGAGAAGTTGAAAACAGAAGCAGTGCCAGGACTTTCAGACCTGCCTCTGTACCGTGACCAGCGGAGGATTAAAATAGATGGGCCATGACTTTGTCTCCTTGGTCACACCGTTAGAGTGATGACTGACAGCTTCCTGAGGTGGCTTCCTTTTTTAAATTGAGAGTCATCACTCCAGTCTACATCCTCTTTCAGTGGAACACTAGTCAAACAGGTATCTAGAGAGCAAAGATGCATGTTGGTCATAAAACAGTGCTAACAATGCAATTCTTTTTAAAGCTTAAGTAGAATAGTTTAACACATGTCAGACTTTGGTGCATAATTTCACGTAATCAAACCAAAAACATGAATTGGTGCGAGAAAAATGTGAAGTTCGATTGATCTTCTCATCTGTACTCCAAAATGTTGAACTATTCCTTTAAACAGTGCTACTTCAATCACCTTGTCTCTTCTGCTGAGTGTTTTGTGTTTTTTTGACAGGTTGAGGAAGGAGTCCCACCTTAAGGAATAACATTGATTTTTGGAATAACCATCATTAGTGCTCTTTGCTTTTGTGAGGAAACATGGGTTAGTCAAGACTTAAATCAGTTCAATGAATCACAAATATTACAAACCTGCCAAAGGCTGGGGAAAGATTTAGTTGAGGGGAGGAACAGCAAAGATGAACAGCTGGGGATGTTTATTGGGTCTGTAACTCATATTCATCTGTCTCTTACTTGTTAGAAGTGTTACCCAATACCCAACTTCTGAAAGAACATTTGTATTATTATGGAAAAGGGGTCTGAAATTATATTCATTATATATTGTAATGCAATATATTTGAACACACAATACATTAATGTTCCAGATATAGATCAAAAGGTCATTTTCTGTTTCAACTGGGATGGGTCAGCCACTGATGTGTAGGTAAACTCAGACTTAAAACAGAACCCTTCACGTATTTTAAGCCTGAAACTGAACATATATAAATCATTACCCCCTTTATGAGAGGGAGGTTTTACTAACTCAACATCACAGAGATTTCCCAGCATTTAGTACCACCACAGTCCATGTGAGAAACCATGTGAGGTGTTTGGCTTTTTAGTTTCTTAGCCAGAAGTATGCACGTGTACATGGACTTTCAAGCCTCTGCCTATCACATTTCTCTCATCAAAGGAGGTCTCTGTGTCAGGGCAGGAGTGGCTGAAAACCTGTGGTTTAAAAGGAAGACAGCGGAGGAGGAGGCCAACCCTCATATGAGTCCCCCTAAAACAATAATCCTGCTTTCACCCATACTCCACCATTCCTTCTAAGTAATCATATCCTCATCATTCCCATGTCAATATCATGTGGTTAGAAAAATAATGGGATACAGCTGGCCTACCTGAATTCAAAATGAAAATAAAAACAATCAAAACGCACCTTTTAAAAGTATGGAAAACACATTTTCACACATCATGTTATGCACAGACAAAGAGGGGTGTGTTCACTTTCTCTGTCAACTGCTATTATCTCACTATTTGCTTAATACACTCTAACTTTCTGTCCTGGCACCTACATTGGTCTGGAAAAACAGAGGGAATTCCTCCCCCCTTTCTTTTTCTCCCAGAGGTGGAGGTCCTATTAATGTTACCATGCTGTCTGGCCCAGCTGAATATATTTACTTAGTGTTAGGAGAGTGGTGGCCACAAAGGCAGGAATGTGCCTGAGTGTGACTTGAAAGCGGCTGTACATTTACATTTTGAACCCATAAAATAAATACAGACCGGCCTTGCAATTTTTATGAATGGCTGCATTGATTCCAAAACACGCCCACCAATCAGCAAACTATCCTCGCGCTGAAGCCACGCCCGCTTGGAATGTCGGAGCTGTTGTCTGCGCGATGATTGGCTAGAAGTATCAAGAGGGCGTGGTCTTCCCAGGGGTATAAATTAGATGTTTGACGCTTATCTCGATAGAGAAACAAGGACTACGGTCCGAAGCTTACTGGAACTCATCGTGAAACTACTTAAGACTAGCAACTGTTCAGTGGACTGTAGCTTTAAGATATCATTCTATCGTTTTTGTGTTTTAGTCAAATTTATCATGGCATTTCTGATCTACCTGACTTTACTGACAACAGCCGTCATCACACAGGTAAGACGTTTCGTGTGCAGCTGTGAGTGAGCAAAAACATCTGTTTACAGAAAGTATTTTTGAAACATTAAGAAACCTTTCATGTGTAATCTGCAATTGACAGTGTAATGTAAGTGTGAATAAAATGTAATCTTGAGACGACATGAACATCCCCTGTGTAAACAAATCTAATTGTATCTAATGTTCACATATTGACGTTTAAGTTAAAACACCAGACTTGTTGATATGTATTTATGTCTGTCTAAAAGTGGATATAATATGGCTTTAAGGTGGGATTATCTTACATACTGCTGGTAATCAGCATGCCTACTCATGCCTTATTTTTTTAAAGCACAGTGATGTTGATTCCCACAAACTTGAACAAGTTAGCTCTAGTGCTGAGCGATGACTCAAACCTGAGACAGCCGGGGACGGCAAACCCTGAGCCATCTAGACACTCGGGGCTGACCAGCCAGCAGTGACTTGAAGCTTTGTCTTTTGGGAGAATTTTAAATCAGCCAAAAACCCTTGGGTCTCCGAGAGATTATTTTAAATAAAAAATGAATGTAAGAGCTCCTTGCTTCCAGTTTGATGTCAAAGAAAAGCTGGGTTGAGTGCACTCAAATAGAGGTAGTTGCCCTACATGTCTGAATTTTTCATTCCATGTGAAGCATTATGGCTCTAAATGTGTCAAGAAAGCCTGTTGTAAAGCTACACTGTAAATCATTGCTGTCGTTGTTTTAGCTGTAAAACACTTTGCATAACTCAGACAATTTGCATCTTGCCTGACATTGTGATCTTGCTCTCTGGTCTTTCCCTCCACCCTCCAGGTGACTGCTAGCTGCCCAGCTGTGTGTGAGTGCCCTGACCAGCCTCTGGTTTGCCCTCCAGGAGTGAGCACTGTGTCAGATGGATGTGGGTGCTGCAAGGTGTGTGCTGCACAGCTAAACCAGGACTGCAACCCCATGAGGCCTTGCGACCACCACAAAGGGCTGGAGTGTAATTACGGCAACGATGTGACCATGGCCTGGGGCATCTGTCGAGGTGAGAGAAAAGGAAATAGTGTATGTTTGAAGGGAAGGAATTTCAATCTGAAAATTGCTAGTTTCTACAGCTAATTGCACAGCTCACTCAAGGCCATAGTATTAACAGATGGTATAAGTCTCCTATATTCAAAATGAGTATGGTGAACTTTATTTGCTGTAAACGCAAAAAGGACTTCATACCTCTGTGTTCAAAACATGTCAAGTAAATGGATCTTAATGGAACCTCCCTTCCATGAAGTCAAACCCATCACAACTCCATGATCAAGTGTAAGCTTGCACATCCGAGAAGAGGACAGGGGGTATTTTAATGAGTCGTAGATGTTTTATGGCAGCGACCGGGGGTTTCAAAGATAAAAATACACTTTCCATCTGCACCATGGCGGTGTTGCCCTACAAACTATGAATAGCAGGTTCTCCCATGCTTTGGAGACAAGGAGTCTGACTCGTACTGTCTCCTTATTTCCACTGACCTTTCTGTCTTAGTGATCCTCTGTGTGATTGTGCATACTGTTGCCATGTGAAGTCATTGTGTTTGGGTCAGGAGAATATTTGCTCAACTGCTGCTGAAAAAGAGCATGTGGTGATCTCTTCTTAAAGCAATACTTCACCCACAAAAAAAGCCATTTGTATATCAATTGCTCACCCAGTGTTTCTCTGACAACTTGGAGTAAACCTCACTTTGGAAGAATACCAAAATGGAGAAAAGTCTTGATGAGTTACAACATTGCATCTGTCTTATTTATTCAGGTGTATGCCAACCTCTTCCCACAATTTGCAAGTCAATACATGTAAAGTTTAAGCTGAGTAAATTGTGTCTTTCCAGCTAAATCAGAGGGACGCACATGTGAGTACAACGGCCGGATCTACCAGAATGGCGAGAGCTTCCGTGCCGGCTGCAAACACCAGTGCACCTGCATCGATGGAGCTGTCGGCTGCGCTCCTCTCTGCACCAACAAGCTGCCGCCAGCCTCTCCATCCTGCCCCTACCCACGGCTGGTCCGGATCCCCGGGCAGTGCTGCTTCAGTGTGGACTGCCATAAGGGCACCTGGCAGCTCCCCCCTAAGCATCAGGTTTGTGTCATCATTGTTTTTGCATGATTCCACAAAGGACTCTCTAAGTGAGAAACAAAGCACAATTTGGAAAACATATTTCATGAAAAACTAAATGTAATATTAAAGGGTGGAGGTGCAATTCATCGCCTTCCACTTTGGTGTCTCCATATGTAGAAAACGATTAAAGTGTTAGTAAGAAAATTGTATTTTTTACGTAATAAAAAAAAAAGTTTGTTTTTAAATCAAATGAATAGCAGTTGAATAACTAGAAATGCATGTTATTTACTGGAGAGAAAGAAAATGTACATGTCCTTATACCTAAAATAATAATATCAGATTGCAGATTTCTTATTTTGTTTCTCATTACAAAAAACATTGAGTAAACACAATTAAGAAGCTTGAACCAGAGAAGATAGGATTTTAAGGTATAAAGAGGAGTAAAGTCTCTCCTCCTCTGACCCATTGCACTTAAGTAATAACCAGGGCACTGTGGTGATAACAGTGTGAACAAAACATATGAGATAGGCTTGACTGCGGCACTGTCTCATCTTATCTTATTTATGATCCCAGGTTCCTCCGCCACAACAACCCCTGCCCAAACATCAACACCATATGGAACATAATAACGAGCTGGCCAACGAGCTTACAGACGTCAAGTCCAGCGGCTGGGAGAGTGAACATGGCTACAAACACCTGCCTGGTGAGAGAGACTCAACTGAGGGGCAATATTTAGTGCTAAGGATCACTGCTGTACTCATGTTTTTGCAAAAAAGCATCATCTGCAAAAATAATGTATTACAGAATTAAAAAAATTGTAAATATTGTGTATATTTATTTAAAAAAAGACACGTACGTATATTTAACATTTGTACATTATCAACTCGGGGCCAATTTAAGATATTTAGCTAAAAAGTAAAGAGTATGTCACTACTTTTCTGTATTGTTAGTCCCCTTGTGACCCCACAATGGGGAACAGACCCCAGGTTGGGGACTGCTGGCCTAATCGATGTGATTATTTATTTTTTCTCCTTCCACCTCTTCGTGGCTCCTCAGTGTGGAACCATCTAAAGAAGAAGTGTCCCATCCAGACCACTGACTGGTCCCAGTGCTCCAGCAGCTGTGGGATGGGCGTTTCTTCTCGCATCACCAACAAAAACCCTAAGTGCAAACTGGAAAGAGAAACGAGAATCTGTACCGTACGGCCGTGCCACGGCCTCACAGTCCCCACCAAGGTGAGGCCCAATAAACTTGATTTGAACTGAAAGAGAGACAGACCGGAGTCATAGGTCGAATATTCTCATTACTGCCAAGATAATTCCTTATCAGAAAATGTTATCTCTTTCAGAGAAACCTAAACGCCTTGAGATAACACGCATCAATGGGGAATTAATTCACCTCTTATCAATCCATGTCAGACTGCGCAGGTTGAAACAATACCTGCTCAAGTTTGCTCTGCTAACTTGTTCCTATCTGTGCTGCAGAGTGTAACGTTAGACATTCTGGTGCTGAGTAAATATGCTCTTAGTGCTAATGCCATCTTTATCCCAAGCTTAAGAACAGATTATTTTAGCGGTACTTTTAGGAAGCTCTGCATCCAGTGGGAAAAGGGCAGTGCTGCTCTACTCAGTGTTTTGGTTGTGAGCAGGCGCCTTTTTAAATATAGTCCCCCGGCATTCCTGCCAAGCAACTGTCCATAGCTTTTCCCCTTCTGTGTACTCAGAGTCCAGGGAAGTGCTGTGTCTATATTAATCCCCCATGTTGGACACACACTAAGATCTCTTCTCACTGCTCTGCTGGGCTCAAAGCTCCTTTGCCAAGAACCCTCATAGGTGTCAGAGAGTTTAACTATCAAACGTTGAATTAATGTTTAATCTTTGAAACTAATCACTTCAATCTAAAAATAATCCCTCATTCAATCCCTATTTCGGCATTACGAGTTGACGTCTGGCCCTCTTAATGTGAAACTAATGAGTTTGAGGGCAAAGCTGCTTAAATCTGCTGTTATGTAAAATTACAGGGCCGATAAAAGCCATACCTCATTAGTTTTATTTTACAAATAAAATGTTCATGTTGTTTTTGGTGAATTTTGCTTCTGAAGGCAATTGGGCAGAACACTCCTCATTCAGACTATGAAACTCACCTCTTTTATTTTTATCCTCCAACCACAGAAAGGGAAGAAGTGCTCCCCGGCCCAGAAAGCCCCCGAGCCCATCCGCCTGACCTACGGAGAATGCGCGAGTGTCCGCCTCTACCGGCCCAACTACTGTGGAGTGTGTGCGGACGGGCGGTGCTGCTCGCCACGCCGCACACGCACTGTCCCTGTGACCTTTGTCTGCCCCGACGGAGAGCGTTTCCAGCGGTCGGCCATGTTCATCCAGTCGTGTAAATGTAGCAATGACTGTGGACACCTCAACGAAGTGGCCCTCCCGCCACAGCAGTGGATGTATGGAGATACACACCAGTTCATAGACTAGTATTGAGGATTTGTATTTTTTGTTATAATGTGATGAGGTCAACTTTCTTGATGAAGGAAGACGCTTCAAGACCAGGGGCCATTTTTCTCATTTGGTTCCAAAGTGAAGAGCACAGGCACCCGCCTGAATGCTGAACAGCAGGCAGCGAGGGCCGCCTCGGTTTAATTTCAATCATAAAGGCAACCTTTGATTTTATTGTGTGACCAGAGTGGATTGTACACGTCTGTTCAAACAGACATGGGACCTAAATTAGAGCCCTGAAGCACCCCTGGACTTCCTCCTCTCTGGATTGATTGCTGGTTCAGGTTTTGAGGATTTTGTTTAACCTCTCTGATCAGCCTGAGGAGAAATACTACAAGAGCAACAAAGCACTTTGTGTAGCACTGAAACGTAGGAACTATAACTATGACAGCAGTGCAAAAAGGAGTACTACACCTCCTACAACAGCCTGTGATGGTCAATAACTCCATATCCCATAATGCACTATGACTACTCAGTGACAAGCAAAATAATTTGTTTTGCAGCTTTATTTAGAAGGAAAATGTGGACTTTTAATATATATATGTCAGCACAGTATGTTAAGAACATAAGCACAGACTTAAAGGATTGTTCCTTGTTTTGGCATGCTGACGTGACAAGCATTTTTATATTTACACAACGAATGACACTGTTCCTGACTATTTCAATTATAAGGGACGCCATCTGGAACTGACAAGAGCGTTCAGCAAGGACTGGACCAATGCCTCTTGATTATGCATTAAATGCAGCTTAGAGAAATGTCTTACTCAAACCTGTATTTGAGAATTTATTTTGGATCACTGTATTCTGTAAATATATTTTCTTTATTTGGATCCAAGTTTATATTGTCACATTTATTTACTCATGGATTAAGACACTTCTGTGTAGCCATCACATGTTCATGTTGTTTATCCATGTGATAAAACTGGCTGCTCAAGTTTCATCCAAGGTTTATTTTCACTGAACATGTCGTTTCAAACATGGCACAGTTCACCATTGCCGGAACATGCTACTAAACTGTTAGGGGAAAACAGGCTATGATTATAGCACCCTCTGCTTGTGAGGATAATTAACTACAACACATTTTGTATTTTATGATACTTGTTGTAGTGTGACATCTGAACACATCGGACTGCTTAAATATGTAAACAAAATGAAATACAACACCATTAATAAGGTATAAAAAGTTTATTTCTTCAACCAAAACAATAAATCCATGTTTTAAAATGAAAAACACTAAAAACAAGCACCCTGCGAAGAACAAAAAGGTTTTTATCATTATGAACTATGCCACATATAGTCGTAGGGGGACTTTAAAATAAATGTTGAGGTTTTTTTTCTCATCCACCAAAATACGGTCACACCACGGGTCACACACACGTTCTCCACTGATAAGACACCTCACACTCATCTGGACTGTTCAACTGCAAAGAGAAAAAGCAATGTTTTAAGTATTTGAGGGCACAAAATATTATGTACTTTAGAAGATGAACATCTTCACTAATATGTGTGATGATAATGTTGACCAGGTTCATAAACACTGCCCCCCCCAATTTTGTCAAACACACACTGATTCCTGGCTGTTTTAATTGAGTTTTTCCTACCAGTAACAGAAGAGGACAGCAGTTAGGCTTAATGCTTTCACCACGTTAACAATGAAGAGATACATAAAAAACATTATACCAGTGCACATGTACACTGACTGGGAGTAAAGCTTGTGAGTGAGAATATAACTTACTGTAAGAGGAGATATCAATCTCCTCTGGTAGCTCTGCTACGTTGACTTCGAAGCGGTCCTGGACGTCATTCAGGGTCTTAGCGTCAGCCTCGTCAGACACAAAGGTGACGGCCAGGCCTTTGGTGCCAAACCTGCCGGCACGGGCCACCTGAGGTACAAACAAAGAAGATGGGCTCAAAACAGGCTTTGCTTAAAGGAAAAAAAGGATGGCGAAAATGAAAGGGTGGGTATAACCATGGACAAAGGTTAAAGTTTGGAATTACACTTCTGATTGTAAAACATAACCTAGCACAATATTCTAATATCACAGTTTCCTGTATCTTTTTTATAGATTAATTAACAAAAAAGGCAAATTGGGTAGATCGTAGGGGTGTAACGGTATTCGTACCGAAAATATTCGGTATGGGCCCTTCGGTTCAGTACACGTGTGTATATAACGTTAAACAAAAAAAATTGGGAACGTGAACAACTTTTTGGTCATAGAGCGACCAAGTCATTTCATTGGACGAGAGGCATACTATGAGAGCTGGTCACAGGGATGCGTTCAAATGTAGTCAGTAATTTGAGGAACTGTCGAAATGGCGAACGCAGATAAAGTTGAGCTCGAAAAACCTCCAGCATCATTGAAGTCTCCGGTTACAGAACGGAAATATTTGTGAACCGTTACACCCCTAGTAGATCGGTGCCCATGTATGGGATTTTTGTTTAATCTATGATATAGAAAACAGAAAATAATATAGCTGCACTGACTCTGTGAAGGTATGTGTCAGAATCCTCTGGCATGTCGTAGTTGAAGACAATGTTGACTCGCTCGATGTCCATGCCTCGGCCAAACAGGTTGGTGGCAACCAGGATTCGTCGCTGGAAGTCTTTAAACTGCTGGTACCGGGATAACCTGTGGGGGTTAGCGGAAATAAGAATAAGTAAGACATTATTCTATATTAGAAAGATTGATATCAAGTTTCTTCCTTTTAAACTATGTCATTTCCAACATAAATCTTATAGGGACATATTTTATAAAAATGAGAGTACAGTAATGTTATGGGAATTTGTTATGGTGAGGAGCTTTGAATTAGGAACCCTACTGTGGAATTCAATGCAAGAAAAAAAGATTAGAAATAAAAAAAGGCACCTACCGCTCCTCCTGTGCCATGCCCCTGTGGATGGCGATGGCGGGGAAATTCTGCTCCACCAGCAGCTGTGACAGAGCCACACAGCGGTGCACTGACTTAACAAAGATCACCACCTAAAAGGGAACAAAAAGGAAATACTTTCATATTTTTATCCAGGGAATGGCAGATACATTATCCAGATACAGACCAGCTTACATCCACATGACAAAGATTTAACTTTGAATTTATTTGAAGATCAGGGCTGCAAATGTACATTTCTGAATAATAAGCTATTTTATGAAGATTAAAATGAATATAATAAATATGTTCATAACTGATTCTGATCAAGTCTATTAATAAGTGCCAAATACCTGGTTGAACTCGAGTACATCGAGCAGGTCGAAGAGCTTTCGATTCTTCTCGCTATCCTTGATCTTGCAGTAATACTGTTGTAAGCCGTGGAGTGTCAGCTTGGTCTCGTCATCCACAAACACTTCCATGGGCTACACAGCAAGAGAGGAACCAAACGTTATTCTCACATACAGACACATTACAATTCCACTTAATTTTATAAACTTGGAGTATGCTTTGACAAATGCATGGTGGCTAGCTAAGCTTGTTCTCCTGGACTGCAGCAGAGCCAGGAGGAGCGACTGTCCTGACCCAGCCAAATCTGCCCAGGAGGATCACTCTGCCCCTCATAAATGGCCACTTATGACACTGACAGCCACACGTGGGCAAAGCTGAGAGGGACTTTGTAACGAACACTGAAATAACTCAATCAAACATGAAACATTATATGTTGATGATAACTCACATCCTGCATGAACTTGCGGCAGACGGGACGGATGTCTTTGCTTAGCGTTGCACTGAACATCATAACCTGTTTCTCATGGGGTGTCACCCTGAAGATTTCCTGGACATCACGCCTCATGTCTGTTGAAACAAGAAATAAATACTTCCATAATTAGGAATCACTGCATTTTAGTTTATCTCTGTATAAAAAGCAATAGAGATGCTTTAGCCATGCTCAATATCTCTGTAAATTAGGTAGAAGGTCTTTTTTAAATCACAAAGTAATAAATGTACAATTAGATGACAATGAAAACATACCAGCCAAGACACAATTATTTTTTACATTAAATTATGCACACTAGCTCTTAAATATTAAATGAAAGCTTCAGCTTATTAGAAATGATGTTATGGAGAAAGAACAAACATATGAGTAGTGGGAGAGATGACACTATGATAAGTAAGATAATACTAAATCCTCCCTATCTTCCATACTGCCAACAGTCTTTCACCAAAGCTACTTTCCTAAAATACCACTTTAAAACACTTTGGCTCCTACTCACCAAGCTGCTCCAGCATCCTATCGCACTCGTCCAGCACAAAGTGTTTGATGTTCTTCACGTTGAGGGTCTTGTTGCGGATGAGGGCCAGGGTACGTCCTGGGGTTCCTACGACAATGTGGGGGCAGTTCTTCTTCAATACTTCCTCGTCCTTCTTGATAGCCAGGCCACCAAAGAACACCGACACCTTGACAGTGGGCATGTATTTGGAGAAGCGCTCGTACTCTTTGCTGATCTGGAAGGCCAATTCTCGCGTGTGGCACATTACAAGGACAGATACCTGGAAAACAGAGAATCATGACATTAGTATAAAAAAAAATCGGTACTGATGATTCATCCGTACATGTGAGCAGCACATACCAGTGTTTCCCATACATTGATTTATTTGTGGCCGGCCGCCACAATTGAATATCGTCCGCCACAAATGGATCTCATAAAACATTTTTTTTTTATTATTAATTTTTTTTTTTTTGGTTTATTTATTTGCAACGCGCAGGCGTCCGTTTTGTCGACCGAAACGAAAACGTGGGTTGTCGTTGTTGGCTGCACCGCCTGTTTTTGCGATACAAAACAATCAGTAGGGCTGAGGTGGCCGAAAAGGGGTATAAAAAAAACACGAACGGGTATTCAATAAGAGAGAGGCAAAACCACCGCGACCCGGATTACTACGGATTTACGGTGTTATGTTACCCCGCCCAAAAGTGTTTTGAAAGTATTCAAATGCACGCGGCAACCAAAACGTTAAAGCGGGTCGGTTAGTCTTTGACCCCCCGTGAAAGGGGGGGGGTCCTAATCGTGGTGGAGAGATACCGTCCGGTGGATTTCATAACCCCCGATTTCGAAGGGCCGGGTTCACACGCAGAAAAAAAACCACGCTTGCGCTTGTAAATCCCCCATGATTGCGCTTGATTCCCCTTTTAAGAGAAAAACCACCCACCCTTACGCCACCATACGCGCGTCACCCAAAGGGCGTG